TTTGGCTTTGAGTCTATTAACATTATAACATACTGTTTTAATCTCTTTTTTTTTTTTTTTTTCTCTTTTTTTTTATTTTTTTTTTTCCCTTTTTTTTTTTTTTTTTTTTTTTTTTTTTTTTTTTTTTTATGCATGAATTGGCATACTATGTTAGCCAAAGTGTTTTTTTTTTTTCCTATTACATTGCCTCCCGTTTTTCTATATCAAGCTCAAGTGCGATGCCATATGATGGCATTTATAAAGAAACTTGCGATGAACTATATGGTGAACCTTATAATGAATTTTATGATGAACCTTACGATAAACCTCATGATGAACCTCACGATGAACCTCACGATGAACTTTTTAATAACAATGCTACTCAGAAACCAGCAAATATGACTGGTTCAGATGAATTTGTGGATAATGAATCATTAACTTCGATTGAAACTAACGCAACTAATAAGTAATTTATTCAAAACTTAGTACTGTATTAACTTCATATTATATAGTAATACTAATATATTTATTTTATAGATCGTTTGTATGGAACCATTTTAAGAAAAAAAACATTAAAAATAAAAAAGGATTAATTGTATTGATGGCAGTATGTGATCATTGTGGTAATGGTTTTAAAATCCGTAAGGATGAATCAACTTCAAGCTTCCGAAAACATCTCATTCGCCTACATAAAAACAAGGTACCAGAATTAAAAAGATCAAATAAACTGAATACAGAGCCATCGCAAAATGTATCTGTTTTAGATATGCTTAAAAGCAAAGCCATAAGTTAAAAAAAAAAAAAAAAGTACATACAGTATACCTTGTAACTTTTTGAAATGTATTATATATAAATTGTTAGACTACAGGTCAAGGTCATGAACCCTTTGATTCTAAGAAATTTATTGACCTTATTAAACGATGGATTATTAAACATAATCAGTCATTTCATATAATTGAAGATGATGGCCTTAGAGAAATATTTGAATATTTGGAACCCCAAGCAATAGGTATTTATTTATTTATTTTTAATATTTTTTTTTTATTTTTAATTTATTTAATTTATTTTTTTTTTTAGCACCATCATCAGATACAATAAAAAGGCATATAACTAGGAATTTCGAAGAAGAACATGAATGACTTCAAAAAAAACTGCAAGAAGTTCCTGGGCATATATCAATCACGACAGACATTTGGACAACCAATAATAATGACAAATCATTCATGTCAGTTATCATACATTACCTAGACACATCATGGTCGATAAAACATCTTTTACTCGATTTTATTCACATGGATAGGCAACATACAGGTGCTGAAATAGCTAGTGCCATGGAAAACTGTCTTCGATCAATGGGAATTATTTCTAAAATAATGGTGATTACACATGATAATGCGACTTCTAATAATAGATTTTTACAAGACTTTTCTGACTCTATTTCATCAGCCAGTATTCAATTTGATGATAAACAACAATCGGTATGATGCTTCGCTCATATCCTAAATCTTGCAGTACAAAGTATTTTTAATAATATAGGAAAGGAATTAGAAATGGTTGTTACTTTATTTATTCGAGTTTTTTTTTTTGACAAATAAATGCATTTGGTGAAATTAATTTTTTTTTTTTTAGTTACGTGCATTAATCAAAGATATTAGAGAATCGAAGATACGTCGTTAAAAGTTAAAAATGTTGTGTCCAATACATAATATAAGGATTTTAAAGCTGATTCTTGATGTTCCTACTCGGTGGAACTCCACCTATGAAATGTGTGCTCGTGCATTAGTATTACAAATCGTGCTAGACACTATCTCTCATACCGATCTGGATTTACGCCAATACGTACTTTCTGAGAAAGATTGGGAAAAAATTGAACTTTTTGTTTCAATTTTAGCACCATTTAAAGAAGGTTAGTAACGACTTAGTCAACTTTTTTTTTAAAAAAAAAAAACTCTTAATATTTTGTTTAATTTAGCAACGGTTGAGATGTCAAAACAAGAATATCCAACTTTGTCAATGGTTATCCCTCTCTATTATTTGTTAGTTGAAACACTTAATGAGGCTACGAATAAGGAAAACATTCTACAATGGCTTGCTCATGGGTGTGAGGCTGCAACCATGAAGCTTTTAGGATATTGTCAAAAATTAAATATACTAAATGTTGCTGCAGTAATATTAGATCCACGGCTTAAACTTGGATATTTCGAAACTCTCAAATGGCAATCACGACTTATTAATCAAATCAAGGATATGTAAGTTAGTAGTACAAATTATGTAATATATTATAAAAATTAACAACTGATATTGTTTTTTTAGTATTACAAACAAATATGAAAATGACTATACACCTGTTCCTAGTCAAGATGCAGCTTATACAACCAAAGAACCATCTAATATAATGGCATGAATGTACAAGCGATTATGTGTAGAACAACAAAGTGAATTAGATACATATTTACTAGTACCACAAACAAGTGGGAATATTGATATTTTAGAGTAGTGACGAAATAATGAATCATGTTATCCAAATCTCGCAAAATTTGCTCGTGATATTCTTCCAATACTGGCAACAAGTGTTCTGAGCAAACAGATGTTCAGCATAAGTGGAGATATGGTCACTAACAAGAGAAACCGGTTGGATTGTAAAACAGTTCAAGAAGCTATGTGTTTGAGATCATGGTGGAGGAAACTAAATAGCTAAATACGAAATAGAATGGATTTCCTTTAAAACTAGATAAAATTCAAAATATTAGAGTTAAAAATTGCAGAATAAACGAATTAATTTTTTCGTACATATGTACGATGCTTGAAATTTAGAGTTTGTGACTGCAACGTGTTAGAATTTTGCAATTCATAATAAAATTGAGCGCATTTTGCTTAGTAAATTTTTTTAAAATGCATTGTTTTCACATGAGTAAGGTATACTTATACCGGTTCAGGTTCGGGTCAGGTATCAAATACTCGGGTCCAGGTTTATACTTGGACCCGGACCAGTTTTCCGAGTCGACTTCGGGTTTTTGCTAAAACCTGGCCCGACCCGGCCTGTGAGGAATACTAATATCATCTATCCAAGCTTCTAATCACTGTTTGTATAACTTTGGTAGCACTGCTTCTATTTCTTTGCCGATGTCTATAAGTTTTTTGTTTATTTCTTTCTTCTCTTCTTTTTCTATCTTTTGATTTTTTTTTATTTTTGCTTTTTTGATTATTTGTTGTAATTTAATTATGTGTTTATGCTGTTATAGCTTTTTCCGATAATGTCTTTTGTTTGTTCTTGTGTTAAAGATCTTCTTTTTTGAGATCTTTTTGTTTGCTGCATCTATTATAGCTTCTTCTATTGCATTCCACATAAGGTCTAGCATATCTGTACAATACTCGCTGCTTCTTCTTTCTTCTTCTAAATGCTTCAGTGCTTTCTTCCACTCTAGTTGTACTTGAAGCTCTTTGGCAAATT